TGTTGGCAACCAATTGTCACATCAAAAGATCCAAACTTGTGTTTCAATGGATTAAAACGCTTACAATGACTACACTATCGAAGAGAAGAACACAATTCAATTCAAGAGAGTTGTCTCAAATTGAATTCAAATTACGTCTACTCTTCTTATGTCAAGTGAAGATCCAATACATGAACAACGCTCTCGACTTCGTTGCTGAGGCATTGGAGTCAATGTAATTGACCGCAAATTAAATGATTATTTCTGTTAAACTAAACTATATTTTATTGATATATAAATATAAATAATTAGTATATTTGTAAAACTCTGTAGAGTTTAAAGTTTTAAAACAGTAAATGTTCGCAAAATTGGTTTTCATTGATTGTATTAAATTCTAATGACTTTTAGACAATAAACTTAAGACCAATAGAAAACATTTAGAAGTAAATCATTGATTGTCATCATGAAGTGCTGGTTGTGCTGCAGTTGCCTCCAGTCGAGTGGTCTTCCACTTTTGAATTTCGTCTTTCAGTTCAGTCGCTATTCATTAGAAGACAAATATTAGACATCAAAACCCTTAACATAATAATAAAGTGTGAAAACCTGGTGTAAGCATGTCTTCGGTTAGATGCTGTCTGTTGAACGGATCCGTACTTGAGTTCAATAGCTATAATAAATCAGTTAGGTTTATATTATAATAATAAATAGTTAAAAGGACTGACATGTCTGGCAATTATACTCCGATCCATAATATGTCCACTGGTGGGCAAAATGACCGGATCTTCCATTAAGGTGTCCATCACAGGGTCTTTGTATTCATTGGGCACTTCACTCCAGTCTTCGCTTTCGAATTTGAGTTTACTTTCAAGGATTTTTTCCACGTTTTGCGCTAAACATGTAAATTCATCGATTTTGTGCTGACCCTTATTTAGCACTCTTTCCATACGAATCAGCGCGTCTTCAAACAGAGCCTTATTATACGAGCGCTCATCCGAAGCAATGGCCTAACAATTCAATCGACAATTATGTTATAAATTATATTTACTGACTGTTTAATAGGTAATCAAATGATAGCATACGTGAGCAAATTGATCACAGTTCAGATGAATATAGATGTCTGTCAACTGATTCAATAGATGTTTGGGATCCCAACCATACTTCTCAGGATTTGTTACTTTCAGATCTTTGCACTTTGTACCACACAGTTGCTCAAGATTTGAGTTCAACATCGCTGCCAAACGGTCCACCAATTCCTTAGCAATTAAAATAATAAATTAGAGACAAATAATACATTTAATCAATGCTTACGGGTTTCATGAATGGGTCGCGTATTGATTCAGTCAAGTAGTGCAACATCTCAACGGTCTCTGTGGCCAAAGTCAAGTATGAACGGCACTGGCGCTCGTCATTGGCCAGCGAACGTTGCCGTGCGGTCTGGTGTTCGCGGGTCTGTTTGTTCCACTTGTCGGCGTCACTCATCTCTTCCTGCACCTCATGAATGCGTTTAAGACTTTGAAGGCTCTCATCCAACAGATAAGTGGTGTCATTCATCAACATATTAATGAATTTAATGAATTGTTTGCCAGAATTGGACTCTTTAATTATGGCCATCTTATGGATGGCGTGCGTCCACAACGACTTGAATATAATGCTAATGTGGTATCGGATGGAGAACTTGTCGTAGAACTCACTCGAGGCTCCGGTCGACTCGATATCTGTGTAGAACTTCATGAGAGAACGCGCCAAATGAAGCTCAGCTAATGAATGGGACAACACCTGGACGTAAAACTCTTGCGTGTAGTTGTGTAGTATAGGACTCGACACAAACATCACTTCTATGAACTTTGCCGTCAAATAAGGGTTTGATATATAATGCGGAGAACATATCATTATAATTATGAAAACAATCAGGTCTTGAGAGTTAAGGTCGTCGTAATTGATATTATGTGAGTCCAGAATTTGCGGACAGTATTGGATCACAAACAGCAAGAATTCTGCGATGTCTTCGATATACCACTCGGGATATGAGGCAAACATTTCGGGAACATTTTGAGGCAGCGGTAGAACTATGGTTGAGTGGTCTCCACAATCAATTGATTTCAATAAGAGACCAATAAATTGGTTGTAAAACGCGAGACAACGGCCCAAAAATCGCTCATCAATTAGACCGCATTCGGCGCACGCCTTGGCTTTTGTCAGTTTCAACACCTGTTCCCTCAGTCTTCGGATTTTGTTCGCGTGATTCGGCGGCAAATATGGCAACAAAGAAGAACTTTGATTCAGTTCTTCGATATATCGCGTCAGTTCACGAATGGCTCGAATTCTTCGCACGTATTTCCTCTGACACGGGATGACACTTATGTGATGGCAGTGAAGGGCTAAGAAAAAGCACTGGGAGTTGAAGTTGGCCTCAGACCAGGCGTGCTCTTCGTTGGCGTTCAATCGCGACAACCATTCTTCCGCTTCAGTCGACGTGAACTTAATTCTTGACTCGTCTTTGCGAAGCAGAACCAAAGTCTTCGGATGGAACTGATATAACGGCTCGATTTTCTCGCGTTTTATTTTCACCGAAAGAAATTGAAGAACAGATACTAAATTGAATAGATATCCATCGCCTGAGACGAGCCGTTCGTCTGATTGTAGTTGCGATCGCTCTTTATTCCGACGCAAGCCTTCGCTTATGTACTTCAGAGTACTTTCACGACTATTGGCGTTAACTAATAGTGCGTGAAATGTGGGAAACAATAACTCTTTCCTAATGTACTCTAATTGGTGTTGAAGTTCTCCGTTGTTTTGTTTTGTATTCTCAGCACTTGTTTTTGGGTTCGCGAAGAATTTATCGACAACTTTGCTCTGCAATGCATTTCATTAGTTTGATATAATGTGTGGTAAATATGTGTCAATACTTACGTCGTCCTCAGCGAACACCGAAAGTCGTAGAAATGGAGCCAAGAATGAGAATCGAGAAAATTCTTTACCGATTGCATCACTTAGAGGTTCCGGTGACCAGATCTGGAGTTCTGTAATCTGTTGGTCAAGTGTTACAAATCAATACAAAATTATATAATTTCATTATTTATAATAGAAATCCAATAAAATGCATACCAATTGACAAATTGGACGAACATTTTTGCCATTAATAGTGATTAGAGTCAACTCGTATAAGGCCTGAAGTGGGGGCTTATAAGTGGATTCAGAATTGGCTAAACTGCAAATGTTTTGCATTTCTTGCCATAAATATTGCAAAAGTGGAATAAAAATTGCTTTAAATGTAAGTTTGTTTGTCGTATAAGTACTGCAAACTAGTGATGACATGAATCCGTTTGGCAGCGACTGATCCAATAAAGATTGAGCCAAAATTGATGTATAGGTTTGAGGCGTCGATGGATGTGTTGTCAATGAATTTGTCAACAATAGAGACGAGAAGTGTATGCATTGAGACTGAATATCTGCTAAGAGTTGAGGCAGTGAGGGATCACCTGAAAAGTTTGGTGCGCTCTTCTCTTCGGACAATACGCGTACATAAGTGTCCAATAGATAGACAAATACCAAAACTGACTTGTCTTTGGTTTTGAATAATTGTTTCACATATAATGAGTAGTTATGATAGTTATGATCGGCAATCACTCCGTTTTGAGCGCTACTTCTTTGTCCCTTTAAAGCGTTGTATATTTTGAGAGCGCTTTCGTAATCACAAGAGTTAATCATTTGGGAAATCACTTCCATTAAAATAGTTTGAACCAAATTTGCGACATTTGTTTCGTCTATCGATTTATCCAATTCTATAACAAACATATCGTTTGTCTCTTCGTTTTGTTGCCAATTCACAGCCAATACACGAGAAATCATAGTTAGCCTTAACTGATCCAAAGAAGGCGCTAATGGGACCAAATGATCGCTCACCACATGAGCCGTTAACGTCTCGATCAAGTCGTTGTGTTCGAGCGGACGCTTCAATGACTCTCTCTTCTCGTTGTCGTCGATTTGCATGTGATTGATGTCAGCCTTCATGTCATCGCAATCCACGTCCACTTCCATTAACTTCGAGTACGACTCCGAACCGGAGATCGAGTTCTCAGACAATAATCCGCTTTTGTTTTCGATGTCTTTCAATGGATTGGACGGTATTTTCATTACATTCTCATTGTTTGCGCATTTATTTAACGCATTCTCGTCTTCACTACACTTTATGTCTTCAGAGTTCTCTTGAGATCCAGTCTTTGGAAGAATAACGGAGTCATCGATGCATTGATTGGTTGTCGTGTCTTCGTTCTCATTGATGCCAGAGATGTGTGGACTCAACGGATCGGCTGATTGCGAGCCATCCAAACGCGCCAATCGTTTTCGTCTCAACTATTGGTTAACAATAATTGACAATAAAATGACAATTAATAACATTTGTATTCAATGTCTCAATAATGGCATCCATTCAATGGTTACCTCTTCGGGCGACAACTCGTTTTGGTTCACTTCGTCGCTCATCTCGTCCTTCAAAAGGCAATCAAAAGACGACTAAAACGTCGATTCAATTCAAAACACAATTATATTTGAGACGTATTTTAGAGGCGAAGACAAAGACATTGACATTGAATTCAATGAATGCTGTTTTCAGTGATAATAGACTTACCTTTGGGTTCAATGAATGGATTGAGCGGTGAATGCAATGCCAACCAAAACTGGATTAGTATTCAAATCAATGGTTATATGAATAGAGAAGTGAATCGAAAAGCGATGGTTTGAATAACTGTAAGAAATGAACGCTTTTTGGTTGAAATGTCTCAATAAAAGTGCAGACAATTGTAGAGAACGTGACGAAGCATTTCATTCGCACATCAATTATGACATTATTGTTGCAAACGTTCACTCATTCATTGCATTACACGAAGGCTTCAGTTTTGGCCCACAAATCATATAATACTACGTTTGCAATGAATGAGTCAACCAAACCGTTCACAACAACTGTGTTTGGCTTTTAAAGGCATCTCTCAGCTGATCGTCAATTCAAACACTATTAAACAATTCAAACACTATTTACGTTTAAGTCGTCCTTCAATTATTACTAAAGCTTCCAAACTTCGGGAATTCACGAATAAAATAGTTTAAAAAATGACCGGCAATTATATACCATTAAGTTTAGGTCTAAAAGATATACGGTTTATTTTCCCCATTTTGGCCTATTTTAAGAAAATTCTACATTTTAGCATATTTTTGAGAAAATTCCCGAAAAGTCTATTTTTTAACAATCCCATAGAATATTCATATATAATACAATTACTTCGATATTAATAAGATATTCTATAAATATTCTATAAATTATAATCATAATGAAAACTACAATAATGTTACAATAATCTTCAGTTACAATAATGATTATCGCAACTATTTTACTAGTTTAACATTAATGTAATAGATGCTTTTTAGTCAGTCTTTGACTAATTAACGACTTTTATAAGCTTGGTACTATATTACTCATCAAATGGTTGCCCTACTCATCGAATGCGTTCATTTGTTATGCTATATTATGTAACGGTTATATTATAACCTATATAATCAAGTTGGCTTAAGATTCTTAAGTTAAGAACATGATCAAAAATAGGTAACATTTAGGCAAATTCTGTTTATTTATATTGGTTGCCATTGGGGACATGTAAAAGTTATAGAGGTCGGTTAATATCTCACCTATATCATTTTAAAAATATTTCTCATTAGAGCTAAATATTATTCATATTATCTAGAAAATTTTGCACACTTGGCGGACAACTAGGTATAAATATATACATTATATTTTCTTTAAATATTTGAATTGACTTAAGGAACTTATCCCAGATATGTGAGGACAAAATATGCTATTGACATAGTATATAAAATGCGCTTGGTTATATAAACAATTTAACAGTAAAGTCAAAGTCGCACTAAATTGTAATTCATTCAATGTTTTAAATGTGTATCATTCAATACTGTATGTACTTGGTCAATTTGAATGATATACACATCAAATTGGTCAATCAAATATAGAATAAATAAATTTCTCAGATTTGATATATTTTGATTTTCTTATAAATTTGGAAAAATGTCATTCGATTTAATGCCATAATTAACTAAATTGTCATAAAATGATAATTTAATCAAAATCAAAACATAGCAAAGTTTGAGTTTAACCACGGTTAACACTCTTGTCAAGTCATGAATATTTTGTGATAAATAAAACACTACTTAAATGTATGTTAACTTTATTTCAGCCTTTAGTTAATTACTAACTTTCGGTAATTTTGACTTAGTTAGATAGGAATCGTTGGATAGGTTTGTAATGAGAGCGGATTCAAGTGATCAGTACTGAAGACTTCTTTGAGTCTGAATGTCGTCGAGAATATGTCTGAGCTCTTCGTCTTGAAAGCGGCCCTAAAGTGGAAACAAAAGCATTGATTAGTGGTTTGTCGCGGTATTGCCCAGTATTTCCCATTGGAGCTCTGACCCTTACTCACGAAAGCGGAGTAGCCCACAAAGCCCCGTTTCCAACCGGTTGACACGGTTGAGCATGAATACGTCGAAGAAGACGCACTCGTCTGCTCTGACAGCGGCGATGGTCTCCCGATTCTTGTAGCGACTGAAGCGCTGACAATAGGAGAGAGTCTTCATAAACACTTCGGACAACTCCTGTTCCTCCTCCGCGGACTCGTTCTGTTGTTTCCTGTGCTCCAAAAGCATGTCCACCTCCGATATCAACAGTGTCTCCGAGTTCTCAAACTCTTTGGGGAACTGCAGTTCCGTCGCGTCCTCTTCCGTCTGATCTGTCGGAGCATTCATTGCCATCGCTTTCGCACTAATGAACAACAAATACACTAAATGTGTCGCTCGTGTGAGAGGGGAGGGGGAGAGGGAGTCACTCAAGTGATCACTTATTACTCGTTAGTATTCTATTCACTTTCACTCGTAGTGTCCCTAATGGGGGACATAATGTGTGACGTTATCTATGAATGACTCATTTTTGAGTGATTGCATGCCTTTTGCAAACCAAATGTAATGATGACGTGATTTATGAATGAATGCAATTATTGTAAACAATACAGTGTTTTGTAAACAAATGATTAGTTTTTATTAAATGACAAAACGATGTCTTGTTTTATGAATTTAAAGCAATTAAACATTTTATTAATTATTTATAATATAATGAAAATAATTATTGTAAACAATACAGTGTTTTGTAAACAAATGATTAGTTTTTATTAAATGACAAAACGATGTCTTGTTTTATGAATTTAAAGCAATTAAACATTTTATTAATTAAAATATTATATTACTTTTATTATACTTTAAAGTAAATTTCTCTACAAATCAATATTAATCAAAACGTAACTAAACATATTAGCCAACCGTAAAGTAGAGTGCAAAGTTAGGAGTGGAGTTGAGACCCACCAAAGAGTTGGACACAAAGAGCATCTCATCCGCAAAACTCATCAACAGATCCGACAATAAGTTGAATTCAAAGACATATCAACCAATCAATTGTGTTATAAACGAAGAGTTTGACGTCGAGTGCGTGAGAAGTGGTGCCGAAGAATCGGATGTTTACATTCCGTTCACATTTATTCACAAGTATTTTGAAATCAATGGCAAAATCATTGACACCAAAGACGGCAAACAAGTGTTTGAATGGAGTCATAGCTATTCAAAGGTGTATTTCCCGAAACAAACCTATAACTCGAGTCATGTCTTCTTATGGTTTAACAACTATAACGTGGAAGTGAGAGATCGGGTCCGCTGTGTGTCCGCCATAACAGGTGTTCCCATATCGAGCCAATGGCAGTCCAGCGGACACTCGTATGCCATACTGCCAACAGTACAAAAAATAAACATTACCCATTAAAAACTTTAACTTTTAAGGATTAAAATCTAAATCTTCGATTCTTATAGTAATTGAATTATGACAGGTATTACAGACTCCGAATCAGCTACTGAAAAGACGGAAGTAGTCAATGAAATTACCAATAATTTTTCAGATACGACTATTTCTTAAGCTAATTATCTAATGTATATGTAATGCGTTTTTGTTTTAATGAATAAACATGCTTAAGTAAAATTTCATATATTATTACCAGTAACGGTATCTGAATTTTAGTAAAGGAGGCTAATGTTATCCGGGTATTGTTACCCTTGATTTTAATAATTCCATGTGTGCTAGAATTGAAATAGTATTACAGGGTAGAGTTATGTGAGGTAATACGGTAATTAATGAAGAAATTCACTAATTATGCGGAGCTCTGTATCCCTTCATATAAGAAATCCATCGCTTGGCAGTCGTTTGGAAAATGAGTTTATTCTCAATGGTATTGAGGAAAAGAAGTTGATTGATATGAGTGGAGTGATAGTCCCAACGCGCTCTGTTGGGCGCAGAGCCTAAGCCTAAGTGCCGCAAATCATACAAAGAACCGAAACCAGTGTCATAGAGGGGTAACATCTTCTCCAACGAGTCAACGCCCTGTCGATAGAGAAGACCCGCTTTCACACAATGGCTATCATTACCGCTCATTGACAGGTCGTAGAGACCAAACAAGGAGTATATGAAGCCATTCAATACATAACTGCTGGGAAGTGTCGGGTATTCTTCAAACCAAACATATTTATCCATAAATTTAGTCCGAAATCCATTGTCTTTGGAGTCGATATCAAACAAATTTAATGCATTTTTGGCACACAATAAGTACTTGTGGTCGAGAGTGTGTTTGTAGAGTCGTGTGAGCAGAGATATGGCCTGACCCTGGGCCATTCCTGAATACCAACCACTCTTCAGTTGTAACGCACCGTTTGACAGCTTTCTATTCACATCAATACTAAAGCCTCCGTTAGGCTTCTGATTGGCCACAAACCAATCGCCGGCTGTCTTAGCGTATGCCTCGTGCGCTGACGCAATGAGTCTAATGTTATCTATCATTGCCTTCCCATTCATCACCAAACGAATCAATTGTGTGTTTCGTGTCTTAACCGTCAATTTCTTCTCTCCTATATTAAGACCCTTTTGGAGATCGATATTTAGATCTCTGTTCAATGATTTCCACGTACTCTCGGTTCCCATTCCATAGATTATATCGTTATTTGTGGCCAATATATCGAAATCACTGGTCGTATAAGTAATTGTGAATTCCTTAACAGAAGTGCCGGAAGAAGCCGTGAGAACAGCTGTGAGCGAAAAGTTGGCTAAAGGTTTGACATCAAACGCGAGGATCAAATCACTAATTGATTTGCGTTTAAGTTTGATAACAACGTTGAGTCCGTCAACCAATA